TGTAATCAGGGTCTTCAGGTTCTTCGTCTGAGATATCTTCACATCCCTAAAACTCACTGTCATCTCCATTGATGATCTTGAGTGTGTCCTGAAGACTGTATCAGTTCTTGGTATTTATATTACAAGTAAATAATATTACCTTGAAATAGAGTCAACATAGGACAGTAGAAATTTTGTTTGTTTGTTTTGTTTACCAAGTAAAGCATCTCAGCTAAAGCCAAGGTGTAATTTCAGTATTGATATGCAAAAAATATTTCATATTACATTTTATTACTAATTTAATTGATTTGACATTATTTTTATGTTTACATTTGTTTAAGTATGCCTTAAATTGAACAACAAAAAAAATATAATGATACAAAACAATAGAATCAGTCAAATTAATTGAGCAGATAATTAGTATTTTTCTTATTGTGACAAAGAGGTCACATGGCGTCTTCTGTAACTATTTTACATTTAAAATCCCGATGTAACATATATGTCACAACACAATTTCGTAACATATATTTCATTATTTTAATCTAGAAATGGGGTCAGAATGGGTTATATGTAACATATAACATGTTATTAAAGCATTAAACCTGTTAAATAGGTTGGGACATACCTGTAGAAACAAATAACACACTTGGAAAATTAGCTGGTTTGGTCTCATGCACTAACCAAGCACACCACCATTTTGTTAATGAGGTCACATGAACACAAATCCACAAATTGTCATATGACTGCATCCAGGAAGTTCAGTATATGTCACTTAGGGACATTAAGAGGATAAAGTGAAGGATAAAGCTGTATAAGGACCTTTCCAGACCTTTTAAAGTGTTTGTGACACATATATCACCATGGGTCCTTTTGGGTTAATACAGAGCCGTGCTGCTGTAATACATGCAGAATGTGGTTTGGCATTGTTTTGCTGAAATAAGCAAGACTTTCATGTCTGTTTTTAATGCAGTGCTGTCTGAGGGCCCAAAGATCACGGCCAGCAAATACTGGTTTTTGGCCTTGTCCCTTGCATACAGAGATTTCTCCAGATTCTCTGAATCTTTTAATGATATTATGTACTGTAGATGATGAAAAGCAAACGTTCTTTGCTATTTTATGTTGATAAACGTTATTCTTGAATTGTTGCACTATTTGATGGTGCAGTCTTTCACAGAGTGGTGAACCCTCCTCATCTTTACTTCTGAAAGACTCTCTGAGATGCTCATTTTATACCCAATCATGTTACTGACCTGTTGCTAATCATCCACCAGGTGTTTTTTTAGCATTACACAACTTTACCAGCCTTTTGTTCCCCTGTCCAAACTTTTTTGGAATGTGTTGTTGGCATCAAATTCAAAATTGGCAAATATTTTTCAAAAAACAATAAAATTTCTCAGTTTTCAACATTTGATATGGTGTCTTTGTACTATTTTCAATTAAACATAGGGTTTAAATGATTTGCACATCATTGTATTTTGTTTTATTTACATTCTGCACAGCGTCCCAACTTTTTTGGAAATGGGGTTGTAACTGTTTATGAATTGCATTGTTCTGTTTGCTGTTTTTAATTTGATTTCGATTCTGATTTGATTTTGTCAGTGTTGTTTCTTTGCTTATTGTCCTTTTGGTTGTTGTGTCCTGCCTTCTTGGCTCACTTGCAAAATAGATTTTTAATCTCAGTGTGTTTACCCTGGCTAAATAAAGTAAAAAAATAATTAAAGGGCCAATATGCTGCGTTTTTCTTGGTTTCTTTCCCCAACAGCCATAATAAGTGTTTCCAGCCTCTCTTTATGCCGTAGTATCTAAAAGGCTGTTTTTTGTTACTGTGCCTTTAAGACTGATGTATGTAAATGAGCTCTGTTCTGATTGGCTGCCCAGCTATAAGCCTCGTTTGGGAAGCAGTCTCAAAGACACCTCATGACTTCAATGAATGGGTGGGGCTAAACTGCTGTATGCTGAATATGTGGATGTATGTAAATGTGCAGGCATCACATTTGTGACATCACAAAAACAATGAATTAAAATCAGGTTGTTTTTTGCAGCTCCGTTTCCATATATAGGCATTATGAACTGCAGAGTGAACAGTTCATTTTGAAACTTTGACACTGTTTTAGTGTGTTTTAGTGTTTAATTTATTTTTTAATTCAGTTTTTAATCTTTTTGGCCCTTTAAGTTGAAACTCTCAGCCTGTACAATACAAGAAGGACTAAGAGACAGTTTTGTTGGGCAATGCTGTTGTGAACGTTTATATAACACAGTATTCCTAACCCCTAAATATGCAGACATGCCTAAACGTGCCCAAAATTTCTGCATAATTAAATGGTTAAGATGTAAACAGAGTCGTTCAGAGTGGTTTGGTGTGAAACGCTCTGCTCTAGAGAAACTTACAGTCAGAACTGTTCACAGTGGTGGTGATAGGAACCAGACGTCCACCTCTAAAAGCTCCCTCACAGAAAGTTACTACATGAAATGTTTATGAATTCACTGCCTGATGTCTGAGACACTGTTTTATGATAGGTTTGAGAGATGTTTTGGTTAAAAAAATATTTTAATCTATTTATTTTAATCCATACATGGTGGAGGGATACATTCACAATGTTAGAAATAAAGGTTCTGTTCAGGTACATTTCTTGTTCATCGAGGTACAAATAATGTAAATGTTCCCTCAAAGGTGCAACAGTGGATTTAAGGTCTGATTGTGAACCTTAAATAAGTTTTTCCAGGTGAAAAGTTCGTATTTGTACCTTTTCATAACCGAATGTTTTAAAACAGAACAGTAAAATAAAAGCCTGGAGACGAGACGGGGTGTGTGGAGTCAGTACAGCTTAGAACATATCATTTCAGTGGATTATGGTTCAGTTATGTTCCCTGACTAAAGGTACTGAGATGTACCCTTTAGGGTCCCACCCCAGTGACAGGAGGGGCACTGCCCCAAGGACAGTGTCAACGAGTGCAGGGTGTTGTGAGGCAAAATAGTCCCCAAAGAAAACTTATTATTTCAGATTTTCCACTCGTGTAGGTTCTCTGGTGGTTTTGGATAGTAAATAAAATGTCTATATTTGTGTTGTAGTCATGGCGACCCCTGGTTCCTATCACCACCACTGTAAAGAAATGAGCCTCTACAATCAACCATTTCACACCAAACCACTCTGCATGACTCTCAAACACTGAATTATGGAGAAATGTTTAAAAATCGGTGGAACTCCCCTTTGAGTTAAAAGTTGGAAGTTGTAATGTGTTTTAGGAGCCACTGGACTGTGTTCCACACGCCTGTGTCTGCTGCACTGGGTCTACGTGATCAACACTGCACAGTCATTATAAAGCTGCATAACAAAGTGATGGGAAGTTTCACTCGTACTGGACTGCTGCACGTACGCTTCGTTTCAGTGAACATCACGAGGAGCGGCACGCGCACTCTGGTAAACTTGATATACTTGGCGTTGGCGGCGTCCTACTCGCCAACGAACCGATTCTTTTGAATCGGTTCTTTTCTGTGAACCGATTCACAGCCAACAACTGTGTCCAGCTCTGTTTTTGCAGCATCTGTGCAATGTTTACGTCTGTCTTACAGCCCGAAGGATTCAAATAATAATGCTTCACATAAAATACTAATCTTCAACATGAAACCACAACACATATTGTACTTACACTGGGTGCAAGTTTGTCTTCTACTCACTAACTTAATGCTACACTCTTTAAAAAGTTCTTCAAGGGTTCTTCAGTAAAGACAGTGGTTCTATATCGAAGCATGAACACTCAAAGAACCATTTGCATGCTTAAATGGTTCTTTGCATGGTGAAATAGTTCTTCAGGTTGATGGAAAATGTGTTGTATATGGTTCTTAATAGAACCTTTTTGAAAATGGTTCTATATAGCACCATCGGGTTCTGCTATTATTACAATGTCAAGCTTAGATGCAAGCGTAGAACCCTTTTTGGTGCTACATAGAACCATATACAACAGACCCTGGCAGAGAACCCTTCAAGCAAGCAAGTGGTTCTTTGAGTGTTCATAGTTCTATATAGAACCACTGTCTTTACTAAAGAACCCTTGAAGAACCCTCTTTTTTAACAGTGCAGTGTATGGAGGAGTTAAGAACAGACTTGACTTGATGAGAGATCTTGTGAGTCCTTTGAGCCGAAGGGTCTTTGGAAGCCCCCCAAGCTTCAACTTTCCAAAAAAAAGTCTGAAAAGTGAGATTAATCAATATTCAATGTTTACTGATGTTCGTTGACATTTATCGCTGCTGTCGGCACAAAACATTGTATCTCCATTTTCCAATTTCCAATTTTTCAGTTTTTGTCATAATTTGAAAATGCCTGTTATTCTTTACATTGTGTGTGAAATTCATGAATTTTCGTTCTTTAGACAAAATTAGCCATATTAATGCACAAAATTCTGATTTTTGTTGCAGTTTGAATCAGAATTTCTTCTCTTTTTGTACAACCAAACCAATTTATGGAACAATAAACATCTATAACATCCCATTTGACTGCCATTAGCAAAATCCTGTTAGTCAATAATAATGTAAAACGTAAGGAGCCTGAGAACAGATAACATTTATTCATTTATTCTGTTTGTTTAGTCGTTTGTAGTTTGTATGAATTTATTTGTTCATTTCATGTTTACATCTGCAGTGGATTGTCCCAAATATTACCTCATGCTTTGTGGTCATAGGCCCTGGCAGTAAGAGGTCCCTGGGCACTGGTCCCCAAAGGCCCGGTCAGTAATTCTTCCCTGGACTTGATTTGTGAATGAATGAGTTGAATCGAAGGTTAGACTCACTGAATCGTCGAAAAGTTCAACGATTTAAAAAGAATCGGTTCAGTAAACTGAGTCGAACTCCGCTTGCAGCACGCACTTCGCTCATGACGTCTGAGGATCAACGGCGACTCTCACCCACCTAAGTTGTCCAATCGTAGGCCGAGTTCAGCTTCGAGCATGCGCTTCCTCACATCTGATTGGATGAGGTGAGTGAATATGGGCGTAGCTAGGAGACGAGAGGTTTTATATGCGGAGACGCGAAAGCTGAGTGACAGTTTTGATTTAGAAAAGAAAACCGTTGGAAAAGAGGAGATTGCTAACCGACTGTTGGTCGCAGCAACGGCTCAAAAACTGGATTCTCACGGAAAATAACGTTAAACGGGGTAGGATATCTGATATTTCCAGTGTTTAGTAACAGTTTTGGTGGTCTGAGTGAACTTTCGGACAACCTTTTTCTTTTTTTTACTCAAACGACGTTGCAGAACTGTGAATAGACGTTAGACCTGCTTTGCTAACCTTAACCAACAATTAATTAGCTGGTTAACTGCTTAATTTAACTGTTGTTGGCTGTTTAACATCGATTCTGAGCTTAAACTTAAGACGAGGCTGAAGTTGGCTTCCCATTCGCCAGCATCTTGTTCGAATTTTCCCGTTCCACCTTAAATGGTGCAGCAGTTACGTTCTGGTGCCTGAGGCTGAGAATGTAACTGCAGCACCATTTAAGGTGGAACGGGAAAATTCAAACACGATGCTGGCTAGTTACTTCAGCTTCAGTATTTTCAGTGTCTAGTTACTCTGAGAAGATATTTTTTGCTCTTTCATTTTATTGTACGATGATAAATGATCTGTATTGGATCTGTTTTTGCATTACCCTGAAGGATTGCATTGGATTTAAAGCTGACGTTAAGTCCCATTGACTCTCATCAGTTGACTGGAAATGTCTTGATTGTTTATAGGACTGTTTGTGTTTTTTATCTGAAGGTAAAGTCGACGTGAGTTTTTGCTGTGTTTAGGACAGTGTTATTGTTTTCTTGACTAGGTCTGGTTTGTAATTCAGTAGAACATTTGTTGGTTGGTGATTTATACTCATTTTACAGCATTTTTCAGAAGCACCTGATGAAAGCTGGTTGACCAAACAGCTAGCCAGCTAGATATATCACTCAGAAATGCATTTTAATTATTATTATTTTTTTTGCTATATATGTAGTATATATGGCATCTCTGCAAAACAAGAGGGCCCAGCATTACATGCATTGCCCCCCTTTTTACGTGTAGTACTTTCCCACTTGTAGTACTTCACATTTAAAGTTCTTCAAGGTCTCTTTAGTAAAGGGAATGGTACTATATAGAACCGTTTCATGCTTAAATGGTCCTATGCATGATGAAATGGTTCTTCAGATTCAAGAGTCAAGTTTGTAACAATAGAAGAACCCTTTTTGGTGCTACAAAGAACCATTAACATGTTCCCTGTCAATCTGAAGAACCATTTAAGCATGCAAACAGTTCTATATAGAAGTACTTACTACCTTTATTAAAGAATTGCTCTGCACATGTCAGTGTCTGCTCTTCACCCCATTTTAACAACATGGATGGCTTGAAATTAACTGATGAGTTAAACCAGGTGTGTCTGAGCAGGAAAAGCAGGAAAATGTGCAGAGTTGGGGATTTAATCCAGGCGAAGGATTAAGAAACACTGCTATAAGGATTTGGACTGCATAATGGCTGATGATGGACTAACACAGTGTAATCCACCATGAATTATACTTTTTGTAATCCCCCTAACCTCCTAAGTGGAGATGACAAACTTCATGGGTGAGAAATGTTTCAAAGTATAGCCTCCTGCAGCATTGCTGGGAGTTGCCACTAGGGTTGGGTGATAGGGCAATAATATTACTGCAATACTTTCATGATGCACAGCATGCATCACCATATTCAGTTCCTCTGAGATTTAATGAGCTGGAACAGACAGAATAGAACCTGTAGTGTCACATATAAAAATACTATAGTAATTAATCTGCAGCTACAATGATTTTTATTCTGTGTTTTACTAACTAAGCTGTACAGATTCAATTAAACAGGCCTAATTTTTCTCAGTCTGTAATGAAACGTAGTTAGTGTTCTTTAAGTACTGACAACATCCACAATAGGCTCAGAAAAGTGTATCGTGACATAATTTATTGTGATAACGATAAAATATCATGTTGCCCACCCCTAGTGACAACCCTTACTCGTGCACTTTCATTGCTGACCAAAATAGTAAGCCAAGTCCATTTACTTGACTGCATAAAACAAACTTTTATGGGGCAAGTGGAATTTCCCTTCACTATTTTCTTGCCCCTTCTTCACAGTTCAGTCTTTTTATTGGAGGTTTAAAAAAAAAGAGAGATTAAAAACTGCACTCACTGTGTTACAGAATCAGTGAAATCAATTCTAATGGGCAGATTAGGGGTATTTTTATTAAGGCTGAACTTCTGCTTCTGTGTTGTTCAGTGTAGGAGTCCTGCGCTGCCACCTTGCTGACCTTGCTGCCGATTCGGACTCGAGCTACTGCCCTGTGGTTCAGTCACCCAGCTGAACTCAGACACCGATCTCAATCCATTTAAAATGGTGCAAAACAAGAACACAGACGTCACGGGATTCCATCGCTCTTATAAGGTTAGTGTCTCGAGGTTCAAGGTAATGTCAGAGGAACTGATTGAGTAGATGAAGTAAATATTGTCTAATCTTTTATCCATCTTTACCTCTTCCAGGTTGAAAACCCTTTTGAGAAAGATGAATTTGCCAAAAGGGAATCGCATATGCGGGAAGCACCGTTTGATTTGGATCACCCCCCGAGACCTGGTGAGACGTGATTGTAGGTGGTGTTGCAGGGTGATACGACGATATGTTATCCTTATTGTGATAAGCTACATGGTGGTGCTCTTTTCTGAGTATTTCATGAGTATTGCCAGCACTTTCAGACCAGTGGTTCCTAACCTGGTCCTCAGAGCCCCCCAAATGGTCCACATTTTTCCTTCATCCCTATGTGCTGCGAGAAAAATGTGGACCGTCTAGGTGGGCCCTCAGTGGAAGGTTGGGAACCAGGACTGGGTTGCACCAGGTTTTCGCTCAGTTAAAACCAGGGCATTGATTAGAGCTGTAAATAAAATTGCAATGTATAGTGTTTAGAATTTTTAGCTTAGTTAACCAAAAAAAGTGATATTTTTGTTATTTTTTTGTGGTTTCTGATGGTTTCCCCAACACTTACACCTGCTGAGAGGGGTGTAAATATTTAGTAATGACTAAACTCAGTGTTAAAACTAGTTTGTGTGATGCAACTAGTTCTGATTTAGTAATGCATAACCTGAACTTGATTAACACTTACGTTACAACTAGTCTATGTTTAAACTTACTGCACAACTGGTGCAACTGGCCACTGTGAGCTAGTGCCCTGAACAACTGCACGTATCATAAAATCAGATTTAGACCAATTAGAGTACCTGTAAGCACCAGCCACCAGTGTATAGTAAATGCCTAAACTGCAGATTAGCTGATTAACGCCTCACTCTCGTAACTACAGACTTTACATGCTCCAATAAATGCTTTTATTTATGTTGCACATTATGATATTTTTTTTAATTGAAAACACTAGTAAGCCTGGGGTTCAGCAGGGTTATATGTGGCACTGGTGTTTTGCTGGTGCCTGTCCTGAAATCATGCACGTCATGCATGTTTTGAGGTATTGTGATGCTACACTGTGTTTCTGCCAAATTGTTCACCCTTATTTACCTAGCGTTCAGTTACACTGTTGGTTTTCAGCAGCTGCCCTACAGTAACCTATCCATTATCTTTATCAGTGTTGTGCAGAGTTCAGTGTTATTAGACTGTGGACTTGGCACTTTCTGCTTTTTCTCTTTAGATTTTCTACCGTCTTCAGTAGCTCAAACTTTTCGCTCGCTCCTGTTTTTCAGACATGCCGTCCAGCGAGCCCATCGACATCCCAAACGCTAAGAGGAGGAACAAGAAGAAAAAGAGATGCAGAGCTACCGACAGCTTCACTGGGCGCTTTGAAGGCAAGCTGCCTCTTTACTTCTTTTTAAAGGAAAATTAAATTAAAGGGCTTTAGTCATCAGTGTTTCATTCTGGACACCTGTTAGATAACCAGCAGGGTCTGATTATTCCTTTTCTGCACTGTCATGCAAAAACTGAGATTTCGAACCAAATCTCTTTAAATTAACGTACATTGAAGTTAAGAGCATTTTACCTTCTCTTGTAAAGTTACTATTCTAGAGTTACAATGTTTTCTTATGAGAAACGTGTTTGATATTTTGTGTCAGAAATCAGATCACGTGATATCGTCCATGTGTTCAGTTCCAACTGTTACCAGTTCAGCAGTTTGGTAGTTAATGTAAATGGACATAAATTACTTCAGTGGTTCACCCCGTTGACAAATGTCCTTGTCGCTGTCAGCAGTTAGTTTAGAAGGGAGTTTTCTAATTGAACAGCATGTTAATAAAACATTTCTTTAAAATATTTACAGATGTTTACAGACTGCAGGACGAGGTTCTTGGAGAAGGAGCTTATGCAGTTGTGCAGGCGTGCATCAACCTGATCACAAACAAGGAATATGCAGTAAAGGTGAGCTCAGTTTGTTAACATCGAGGTTAAACATACTTCTTAAAAAATGCAACTTCGTGTCCTCAGCTGTGTTTGTAGAGGTTTTGCAAGGACGGCTGTACAGTTATTGATATTAATTCTAGCTTGCATCAGAGCACTGCAGTTCTGTAAACGTTTCCTGAAAAGCTGAAGTTAGTTTGAAACAAGAACCTTTGCTGTAATTGGGTAGTTGGGTCTGTGCTGTGGTGTGTATGGAGTCAAACTCTTTGGCAGTTGTGCTTAAAAGAAAACACCCCTCTGAGATCACTTCTGGCTGCCTAAACGTCCCCTGCTGAGGCCTGTTACATAACCGTGTAGGTGGAGTCGGTGAAGGAACACACCACTTCTGTTAATATGCAGCATTTTGTTGTGTTTTTGGTTTGTTCTTGCTGTGGTTGCTCAGCATCTGTGTGGAGCGGTCAGTTCTGTGTGTTTCCCCGTTCTAAAACAGCTCCCTGCTCTGCCTCCACTGTCAAAACCCCACAGTGCCTGCTCAGCAGAGAAACTTCCTTTTTCAGTTGTTGACAATTTGTAGCGGACAGGCTGGTCAGAAAACAGGGCTTTGCTGTGTCTCTTCACTCAGTCTGTTTGCCTGTTGGACTTCCAGTAGGGCTGACCAAGGTTGTCACCGTGCCAGGAATTTGACTTCAATATGCAATACCATTGGAGTTTAGTACCCTAATGACGAAAACAATACTATGACAAACATTACTAACATACAGTTTTAACAGTATTTTATTGGATTGACCACAGAAAAAAATTAATTTTTAAAACTGATTTTTGAGGATTAGTCTTTTTTAATAAAGTATGCTTGGCATGAAATTTTAGCTGATGATTAATCGCCATTTAAATAATTGCGATTAACATTAATTTTATTTGAAGGACAATTAAGTTGTAATAATACAAGTCTAAAGTGACAAAACTGGCTGATTAGCTATCTTAACAAGCTGTTGATTCTTAGTGGCTCCCTCAAACAGCTCAAGCTCAAGTAAACAAACGTCACTTACCACTGCCATCTAGTGGTGTGGTAACTTTAAGAAGGTAAATTTTCCTGGTTTTTTGCTTTTTGTTGACATGCATAAATAAAATGTCAACCTAAAAGATAATGTGCTCATTTTATACTGTTAAGATGTAAACATATCAGAATCCAAATTGAAATATGCTGAAAATGTCATTACACCCCTATTTGATTCAATGTGTAACAGCAGTTGGGACAGTATGTACTGGTTTCCAGGCTGAACACAAAGGGAATTGGAGAGAGCGGGACAGAATTCTATGTGCGGGACGGTTAACCTGCTGTTTCATAGTGAATATTCTGTAACTTCTTTCCAAATGGGGTGTGGGATTGAAAACCGCAGGTGCTCAGTTTTCCTGCAGTCTGGCTGCATTATAAAATTCCAGGTGTCATAAGAGCCACATTTCTTCGCTGACTTTCAGTGCTCTCCTGAAATGTCAGTCGCTGCAGAGACATGTGCTCAGAGTGTGTCAACAGTGTTTTGTTTGGCGATGGCTGTGTCAGAGGTAAGCATTTGAGGCCCAGGTAGATGGGCTGTGGAACGAGTTGACAGAGGCAGCTGGACTGTCCTGTCCAGCAGAGATGTTTTTGTAGCAATCAGTGATTTTTAGACTGATCTTAAGAGCCCCTGCGGATTGATCATTGATTTGTGTGCACATGTTTTTTTTTGCTGAGTTTCCTCATTTGCAAGGATTTTAAGGAAGAAAGTTACCTGTGAAGGCACTATGCTAAATGTCTGGCAAGGAAATTTCCTTTTTTGTCATGGAAAAGTCATAAAATTTCACTGTTTAAACAGTGTATGAATGAAATTGCTTTAGATGTCTCTGTTTAAGCAGAACTGCCCTAAGTAGGTTTAAATCTTGTGGGGGTGAAATGGAGACCACCACTAGCTTTGTGCTAAGAAAACATTGAAATATCCATAGTGGCGCTAGCAGACGTTTACATTGAGGTTCGCAGGCTATTTATGAAGTTAAGATTTCTGCATTATCACTGCTGTATAAAGATTTTACACATTTTTGCCACATGAAGTCCTTTATTTTTTTTCATTGAGCTATTCTGGGATCTTTAAAAGGCTTTACATGGTATACTGTTGTTCGGTTAAGCCCATTTTTAGTGAGTAACAAGATTACTCAATTAATCGTCAATATTCTTTGTTACTCATGTAATCGATAGTGATAGTCCTACTTCATATTGCTGTCAGTATGATATATTTTCCCAAGCTTCATCCCAGAATGCTTGCTCTGCATGAAGTGGCCTGCTTTGAAACCGCTTCTTCTAAAGCGGAGTAAAGGGCCGTTTACGTAATTAATTATGCAAATGTTCATGTTTGGTTTCTGCCTCATTTTCTCTTGGCCCAGATTTTTTGGTCCATGCTAGTTCTCTCTCTCTCTCTGTCTTTGTGTTTGCTCATGTGCTGTCTGGACTGTCCTGCCAAGACTTTCACCAGCCCAAGAAAGTAACCTGGTTAAATAAGCGATGTCTTTCTGGCCTCTTTGTTCCAGCAGAGTGAAAGCAAAGGGAAGCCGGCAGTCAGAGGGCTTTAAACTGTTCAGAATGATGGGAGTGAATCTGAGTGTCACTGTGGTGTCTTGTGCTGGAGGGTGCTGGCTGACAGCCCCTATGTCTTTGTGTTAACATGCTGACTCGGTGGTCTGCAGGGTTGTTATGGGTGGCTGGTGGCACAGTGTCTGTGTGCTAATCCCCTGCTTACATTGTGCACTCACTGGGCCGGCCACAATACGTGGGTCTGTCTCACCCAGCACAGCATGCACACGTAGGACTATGAAGGGCAGAATGCTGGTAGGATAACCTTGGCCCTGTGTTAGACAGGCTGTACTGGAGGTTTCCTGCTATAAAGGAAGACCTGGGTGTAATGACCCTTTCAAATGAGGAAACAAGGTCGTGCTTGTGTGCAAAATATAGATATTTCTGACCCTGAACAGAGGCAGCGTGTTCTGACCCTGAATGGGGGAACTTGAGATGTTGGGTTAATTGTGAGTGCATGTGTGTGTGTTCCAGATTATTGAGAAAAGGCCGGGGCACAGCCGGAGCCGTGTTTTTAGAGAAGTGGAGATGCTCTATCAGTGCCAGGGTCACAGGTAGGACACGTGATAGACAAAAACAAGGTTTTAGGATTTTTTTTTTTCTTTTTGTTTTCGTCAAAGTCTCAAAACATGCATATAACAATTTTTCACCTCAGAAACCAGTGGTGAAATGTACAGCGTGATGAGACAGAACTTCTCCTTTTCACAGAAACATCCTGGAGCTGGTCGAGTTCTTTGAAGAAGATGAGAAGTTCTATTTGGTGTTTGAGAAACTGAGAGGAGGTTGGTAGACACTGTTTACATATTGGTGCCTGACGTTTTTCAGACTGCTTTCTTAATTTCAATGCATATGCATTGTTCAATATTAATTTTTACCCCATAGTCTAGACTTTCCCAGCCACATTTCTTAGGCACTAAAAAGGGTTCTGCCATTGTTACGATATCAAGCTTTTAACAATAGAGGAACATTTTGGTGCTATATAGAATCTTTTTCAAAAGGTGTTGTAATCCGAAGAACCATTTCACCATGCAAAGAGCGTTTTAAGCATGCAAATGGGTCGTTGAGTGTTTATGGTTGTATATAGAGCCATTGTCTTTACTAAAGAACCCTTGAAACACCATCTTTTTAGGTGTGTACATTAGCAAAAACATTGTTTTGAGTTTTAAAAGGGGAAATTAAACCTAGTAAGAGCTTGTGAAATGTCTGGAGATAAGTTAGACAGATCAGAGGCAACCAAACCTCCATGTGTTGACATTACAACCACAACTTAACTGGGTTTGGCACACTATGTTTACGGGTCAAGCCTCAAGCCAAAAGAACTGGATATTCTGGTCTTCTGAGCTAAAATAAATCAGGTCTGAATCTCAATTTATAAAAAAGTCACAATTTAAATTGCAGTTGCAATATTAGTCAGAAAAATATTTTAGTTTTCTAGCCCCAGGAATTTGGGCAGTTGTTAATGTTAAACCTTGATGTGTTCTGTGTGGTAGGTTCTGTGTTGACTCACATCCACAGAAGACAGCACTTTAGCGAACAGGAAGCCAGCATTGTGGTGCAGGAAATCGCCAGTGCTCTGGACTTCCTACACAGCAAAGGTGAACCTGCCTTGTCCATTTCACAACATACAAGCCCAGTCCAAATTCAGCCTCCACTTCCGTCCAATTTCCAGTTTTTAGAGGCTGTTTACACTTAGCTTTAACATGTTTTGTGTCCAGATCATATCTGGATCAACTTTGGTCGGATTCCATTTACACTTTTCGCTAATGTGTCTCGAGTTTGACCAGATTCAGCTGTACTTATCCCGTGTAAAAAGCGTGTCAACACACACCTTGTTTGTTTAACTTTTGTTTGCTCTTTTCCCCCATTATGATATGAGTCGGCAAACTTGACATGCTTGCGTGAAGGCTCTTGGTTAGGGGTAACCTCAGGCTTGCATATCCTTCATTTTTTTGTTTCATCATTGATCCCCTTTTCTGCTAGTCAGCGTCCAGCAGACACATTTCCACTCGTGTAAATGTATACAGAAAACAAAAAATCATTCCTTCTACACTTTTGTTGGATGTGGTCAAGATCTGTCGCTGACCACCTCCAAATGCGGTTTGTGTGATTTGATCATAATCCGAACACAGTGCATCCTGAGGATGTTTACACCTGGCTTTTCATGCAGTCAGGTGAAATCCAAACGTGATCTGATCACCAAAAGCGCATATTAATGCAAGATTTAAACAGTTTCAAGTTTAGAAATACAGCTTGTGCTCTTTATTCAAACCTAGTCTTGGACTAAATCGCATTGTTAATTGCACCATTAAAATGCTAATTGGTTTTTGGCTTCTGTGTCTGGAAAACCAGCCATTAGACAGCATTCTCATAAAAAGGAGGAAGTGGCTAGAGGAAGTGGAGGAAACTTGGGATTAAGCCCGACTGTATCTTTTTAGAGTCTTTAAGTAGTTAAAAATGTAAAAATGCTTATTTTTATTCCCTGTAGGAATGGCACACCGGGATCTGAAGCCAGAGAACATTCTCTGTGAGCATTGTGACAGGGTGAGTGTCTTTTGGCTTGTGAGGACATTGGACCAGATTATTGATGACAAATCCCACTGAGTGCAAACAACGCTTGTGCTAATCCTTGCCATAGTTATAAAGACCTTTTGAAGACTAAAGCTTTCCCAGGTGTGTCTTCCATAAAGAAGATTTGACACTAAATGTCTTGTCTGCAGATTTCTCCAGTGAAAATCTGTGATTTTGACCTGGGCAGTGGAATCAAGCTGAACAGTGACAGCTCCCCCATCTCCACTCCTGAGCTCCTGACTCCGGTGAGTGCAACAGACTGAGTACTTGTATTACTTAGTACTACTATTTTCGATGATATAGCAGGGATATGCGCGTTGTCATAGCTGTTCTTCAAGGAAATACTTTAAGTATTTCTATTAAGTATTCAATCTTATCTGCCCTGCCCCTGAAGCTGTACCTTTATGACGGATTTACTGCACTGTTTCTGCGCAGTTCAGGAAGAAAACAAGGATAAGAGTTTTTATGGAGATGTAAACCTGTGGAGACGGACATTTGATAAGCTTCTTTTAACCTGAAGGAATTTATATCAGTAGAATCTCCAAGACTGTATTTTATTACCTGAATGTATTTAAAACACATGCAAGACACAGAAGTTAGTCCTTGCAACTATTAGATGAGACTACTCTAAAGCATTACTAGCTGGTTGCCCTGCTGTCTCTCTAAATCGGCTCCGACTAGTTCAAAATGCAGCGGCTGGCGTATGCCTAGAACTGTTGTGGCTCATTTTCTTCTGCTTGTAATCGTGGTGCTATTGTATAGTGTTTTATCTTTCCAATATTCTACTTATATTCCTGTGTAGAGCTCTTTTGAGTTGTGTAACTGAAGTGAAAAGTGCTAAACAAACATTATTTATTACATTGGGGGGAAAAAGGACTAAGGAAGTTGCAGCATAGAGCATGAAGCATTGTTCATATGAATTAAGTGAAGAGGAGTTTTTCTTTGTGCACTGAACACGTTTCCTCAGATCCCTAAAATCTTCCTTCAATTTTCTGGACTTTCCAGAAACGGCTAAAAACAGGCTTCCTGCAGGCCTGTGGTTTGGAAAATACAGAACCCTCCCTTTATTATGTCGTTAAGGTTGTGCCCCATAGCAACCGCAAGCTCATTGGTCATGGCTGGGGGGATGGAGCTTGGCTGTGTTTTGGGAGTGGAAGCACATGACCTACTTTTTGAAATCTTGTGCCTCTTAAACATCTGTTAATGGAGTCTGTGTTCATTCATGCACAGTTCATGACTTGGTTAATCATGACAAGTGTTGGCTTTCTGAAATATGTAGTTTCATTTGAGCATTAGCCTCATACAGTCCCTTTCCTTAAAATCCCCCTTTTTCCTTCTGTTTTGCATATCTCTGGTTTTGGTTGAGTGAAATAGGACCTCAAAAAGTCCCTGGTTCACCAGACTGGTTCGTGACAAACCCTGAGCACTTCCCTTTTCAAGAACAAGGAACAGGGTAGTGGTGGATGAAATTTATGAAAGCCAATATTGCGATATTTTCCAAATTAGTCACAGTATCGAATGATATTCAAGTTGGTATTAGTAAAGTTAATGAACATTGTTTCTGAGTGCTGCTAATATAGGCTAAAAGAATGTCTGTCTTACAAACCTGACAGCCTGATTTGGTCTCCAAAAGTTACACCAAAGGAACACAGTTTTGTAAACTTTGACCACATACAAACCGCATTCCCAGAAAGGAACCGTGATACTGAAGCTCCTAGGAAATGACTTATGTTGCAGTTAATGTCCTGGATCAGGTCCTATATATCGATAAAGTGCACAGTGTAGAATTCCACCTATTTTTCTAAATTTCTGTATAATTCAGTGGTTGAGATGGTTGATTTGTGGAGACTCAGATTTCTATACAGTGGTGGTGATAGGAACCAGGGGTCACCATGACTACAACAGAACTATAGCCATTTTATTTACTAACCAAAACCACCAGTGAACCTACACGTGTCATTGTGAGGCAGCTCTTAAAGGCAGACGTCTGGTTCCTGTTAGCTCCACTGTGAACAGTTCTGCCTGAGTTTCTCTGCATTGAACCATTTCACATTTACATAAATGACTGACTGTTTATCTTAAATATTTAATATGATGTCCTTACATTTGGTAAATTTAACTGAAAATCAGCATCAAAAGTGGGACGGCAAAACCAGTCAACGGGTGTTTATATACCACTGAGCACTAGAGCAGGGCGGGACTCACTTCTCCTAACTTAGGGTTACAGCTAAGAGGACCTGTAGCTCTTCAGAATTAAATGGCTTTATCTGCACCCTTAGCGCTCTGTACGGAGTAAAGCTCCTGCAGGTGGCTGCGCTACATATGTTGTTGTGTCTGTAAGCCACAGGGAGCAGAAGGAGGGAGGTGCGGACAGACGTCAGAGACAGCGCTGTCTGAAGCAGCTAAAATTCCTCCCCGCTCAGATGGAGGTTATGTAAGCGGCCAGTCATGCAGAAAAGAAATCCAGCTGGGTGCTGAGCTTTCAGTTTGAACACTGCAACGTGCAGTGATTCATTCATTTCCGTCCACTCGGTCTGCTCACAGGAGCACGTCAACACTGAAATGCTGGTGGTGCTGAATGAGTGCTAGTTTGAACTAGCTTAAACTGACCTCTAATGGCTAATCGACCGCGTGCCAGCTTTCGCCCTGTTGTTGTTCCCCATGTCGCCGTTACTTGGACATATTTACAGTGCAGCTGGGGCTTCTATGGGGAAATGGACTAAGAAGGTTGAACCCAACCCATCACGGTTGTCTGAGCCATATTAGGGACAGGTAATATGGTAAAAATAGATCAGGATGCCTGAAGTCACTATACTTAGTTTTGAGTTATTTCTTTCAGACGTGGCCTAATAAAAACAAAACAAAGCTGAAAAATCTGTTGTCAACATGCTTATTTACATCCCACAGCAATGTTGGAGTAGTCTCTAGCTTGACATTTTCCCAGTTTAAAGCCTAAAGAACTCCTTTCAGATTGTGCATCTTGAAGATGGACTTTTGGAATAACTAGAACTGCTATGGGGTAGATTTTTGGGGGAGGGCTATTGTTGCTGTTGGATGTATGCTGGTGAAAGCCTCCCATTTAAATAGTTAACATTATTACTGTGAAGCTGAATATCTTATTATAGCCATATACCCGTAGTAACTGTCTTCAGATCATTACAGTGAAGAGGAATACTCAAATGACAAATGACTCCGAGGACAAGCTAAAAGCTAAAGTTAGCTGAATGAAATGGAAACAGTGATTCTATTTTTAGAAGTTACGCTAATGCTAGCTTGGTTGTATTTATTGTTGGTTGACACCACACTGCCTCTTGACAAGTTCTTATTAGGTTAAAGTTTCCCAAGTAAGACTTGATAGGACATCAGTAAATAAAGTAAGACTTAAAATTGCAGCTACTTGATTTGAAAATTTGCATTCTTTCGAAGTTTTGATCTAAAAGCGATTAATTGTTCAGACGTATACAGTGTTTTTGTGCTGATCGGGGGGAGTTTGTGTCTCAGTAGTGGTGCGATTCTGTTTCTATAATTAGCGGCTGCTTTCTTTAGCGTTGTATTCCCAGACCTGACCTCTGCCTCTGTCCTCTTCACACCTAATGCCACAGCAACAGACCTAATGCCACATTTTACATTGTGCCACAGCAACAAGCTGGTCAGGCAAATACCATGGAGTCGTGGTCCGACTCTAATGGAGTTTCTAAAAAGTCAGCTGTCCTCATCCCTGTTGGCAGTTATCATATCTCCTTGAACATTGTCTGGAGGAACACTCAGACCATTCTGGAAGGTCAGTCTGTTATCTTAGACAGTTCTAATATATATCAGTGCTTGGTGCACAGCCTGATCCATGGAGGTGGATGCTGCTGATAAACTGTTGGTCACTTTTTCTCCCTGCAGAGTTTCTGCACAGCCCACTGCAAATAGCCTTGCTGATGCGGTTGTGTAATATACAGAAAATCTTTTTGTCAGGCCACTGCTGAGTTACACCATCACTGAAAGTGGGTCTGCCTGTGCCCCTGGCCTGCTGAACTGCTGACCTGCTCATTCTGTGCCCACTGGCTGTTTTTCCATTGCTTTAAAGTATTAATGCACTGTTCTGATCCGAATGGATGAATGTGTGCATGGTTGTGTTATGTAACCTTTTCTGCTAGGGTTGGGGCTTGTTTATCTCCTCAGAGAGGCTCAAATCCTATTCCCCTGTGCAGCAGGAGTAGCAGCAGCAGCCTTTTGGCCTAGTTACCACATGATACAGGCAGCAGCTCATGGGTTCTGCTGGAACAGTTGGCTGCTGACATGCCTCTGTGGCTGAACCGGATCAGGCCGCCCAGCTTAGGCAGGAACAAAGAACAGAACAAAGCCTCTGTGTAGACATGGCATGAGGGATGGCAGGGTGGAGTGCAGAATGAGGACTGGTTAAGGTGTAAACATGCATTGTAATGTGTTTATCAGAAGGTGCAGCTACAACTGCATCGATGTTTAAATGTTATCCGTTATAACAGATTATTATAATAATATACAATAAATCATGCACTTATTTTGTATCCAGAACACAATTGTTGGACTTTTCAAGCATAATCCCAACAAAAGCTTAAAGCATTGTTTTTACTCTCTGTGATCTACTGCTGCATGTGTCTCGAAGCGTTATTTGTATTGCCTGTATTCCACTACACTGCATTTGTATATTCAATAAATATAAAAAAAAAATCTGAATTGTTAATCAGATTTGAATTGAATCAGATTTCATGATAGTAATCAAATCGAACCGTTCTGAGCTCAGAGACATGTAGCCAGTATATAAACTTCCATTCAGAGTTTATTGTTTTCAATAAAATAAAACCAATTTAATTGATGGAAAATGTATAAAATGGTTAAGGTGCACCTTCACAAGTTTTAAATAAGCGGAAAGACGCTATGAAGCTGACATTTTAGATGTGTACAGAATAATTTAAACGATTCTTAAAAAAAACTCACATGTGAAAATAAATTAAGAAGTTAACATGTCCTCTAAAAAATCCTCCTTAAACATGTGATTTGGCCAGGTGTGTTCAGACTCTTGCATATGAATGTGTAGCACCAAGAATGAAGTTATAACAAAGTGAATTCACAGAATACCTCCAGAATCTTGATGTATCAGGATAAAAACCTGACAAATTACTGTAAACACAGGATTACAGTATTTAGTCATTTTAATAAATCTTTCTCAAACTCGAAATACTCATATTGAATAAGGCATCTACGAATTTGGTGTTTAGTTTATAGTATTTAAATCTACAATATAGAAATTATTATTGTATATAAAATAGCTAGTTATTATGATTAATGTAAAGTGATTCCAAACGTTTGGACAGAAGTGTGTCCTTCCTGTTGCTCATAAAGCTTGTATTTTTTTTTCCTTTTACATAATTTGAAAATCCCAGTTGCCCTTTGCATTGTGTTTTTTTATTTTCTTCTGTGAAGTTAGTTTTGGCAATACAAGGTTTTGTCAGAACAGTGACTGTATGCTTGCCAGAGACTATGGCTTCAGATCAGTTTTTTAATGACTTTTGTGTATATTAATTTTTAAATAGGTTTGTCAGCTCAGCATGCTCTTTTATGCAGGCTTTACTTCTTCATTAAGAACATAATGTGGTAAAACAAGCTTTCTCTAATGATAATGCTGCCCCTGGCCTTGATGTCTGGTTTGAAAATAGGTTTGGAGATATGTTGGGGTATATTTTTACTTCGTGTGTAAACAAATGTACACTCGTGCCCCAGGCCTGTGTTACCTTGATGCTGCAGATAAGAGAGGCACCATTTGCTAAACCTTGACATATAATGTCTGAAGTTTCCTGAGGATGGAGTTGAGCAAACATGTTCATCCTTGAGTGTCTAAAATGCTTGAGTTTTGATGGGCAGGTTCAGGGTTGGAAAAATGTGTGAAAGGTTTTGGGGATTTGAAAAGCCACAAAGTCATCAGTCGTCGGACGTTTGGCAGTCTTTTAGTTAGCAGTTAAATTGGGTTTTTTACTGTGGGTGAAACAGTGCAGGTTATTTAACTGTGAACTGGTCTCAGCTGGAGCTTTAACAACCAGGAGGCTGTCGACAATGATAATAGACCATGAAATGACAGTGTGAAGATTGTATGTGGCCCAATCACCTGGAGCTGCCCTCTTTACTCAGTGCCCTGGATTTAGTTTAGATTGTATTTAAGCAGCAGTGTGCTCAAGGGTGGGTGATAAGACGTTATCATAAGTGTTATCATGATAAATTACGTTAGAATGCCTTTTTATCAGTAGATCTTATCGTCAGTACTTCTAGAACACTAAACTGCATGTACAATTTAGAAAAAAAATTAGAGAGCTTGTAAACAACCACTGTATAGTATCTGCATAGTAACAAGTAACCGAAAGTCATCCCATTATTTTATTAATGTACTTTTACCAGATGTTTGTCCGTTTTTTGTGTTGTACCACTGTTTTGCTGGTGCAGTTCTTCGTTTCCAGTTTGTTCACAAAACTCAAAGGGTTCTTTTACACCTATCTTGTTTGTTCCAGACCTCCGGACTTTTCAGTTTGGTCCGAATCAAAATAGCATGTGTGAGTCCAGACCAAAGGATCAAAATTTGGCCCAAGCTAAAGAAGTGGTCTCAGTCCAGGTTAAACTGAAACATGGCTCGGTTCTTTTGCAGTGTGAAAGCACTTTTGTGGGTGATTTGGACGTTCAGACAGATTACAGGGAGTTGAGACTGGCTGTCGTCAGCCAGTAAACAATGAAAGAACAAGAACCAGGAGAGAAGTAAAAATGAGCCGCAGTAGCACACGGGGAGAGGAGACGAAATATTTCATTGTAATTTGGGCCAACAAGTCAAAAAACAACTTGGGGCAAAAAAACACAAAAGCCAAAACTAATACCTTATTTTCTGAGAGGATGAGGAAGGGTGTTTACTTTTCTCCATTCAAACGGAAAAGGCTGCCTGCTGAATTTACAACACGCCAACGTCAGGTGCTCCTCTTCAAACCAGTCAGTGTTAAATATAGGGAGACGCAGCCCACGTTCTTTAGTGTGGTCGCTAAATTACAATGTGAAGCCAAAACCAACCAAATCAAATGGATACGGTATAACAAAAATGTGAACTGTAACTTTCAGGTGTGAAAATGCCATAAAAATAAAATATCATGACACATTCATATCATGAAATTGTTTTCAACTAGCATGTGATATTATATTTGTCCACCTTTACTGTGTTCCTGTGGTTTCTTGTGGTGCATATTCTAGTAATGGTGTTGACTTCATTATATTTGTTTTTGCAGTGTGGCTCAGCGGAGTACATGGCTCCTGAAGTGGTGGAGGCCTTCAATGAGGAAGCCAGCATCTACGACAAGCGCTGCGACCTGTGGAGCCTCGGGGTCATCCTCTACATCTTGCTCAGTGGATATCCGCCATTTGTGGGTCGCTGCGGGACCGACTGTGGCTGGGACTGGGGAGAGCCGTGTCATGCCTGTCAGGTGTGTAAACGTTGTTGTTGTTAATATATAGTACTGAGCAGAAGTGTTAAGCAGCCATAATTCTCTACAGCTGTTTATCTGGGCAGTAAGTGTGGTTTTGCCAGTAAAAACACTACATAACATTAGAATAAATACAAATCACAACTACAGTAAAATGTAACAAGGTGTTATCAGTAAAGCTATTACTATGCACTTTAGAAAAGCACAGGTTTGGACTTTTCGCTGCTCTCCAGCCATGGCATGGATTTGTTCAATTCCATCAGCAGCACCTGATTTAATTTAATGAAGGATTAATTAGATAAACTAGGATAAACTGGTTTTGGATGGTAGCTGAAAGCACTGGACTTCCTCAAGGAGAGCTCAGGCAAAGCTAACACACTGAAATGTGTTGTCTCTTAATGGATTGTTTGTTTATTCTAATGTCAAACAAATACATGCTTATTGCCCGGATAAATGCTTTTACATATCATTTTTACAGACTGCCTAGAATGTTTGCATACTACTGTATTTAAAAAAATAAATAAAATAATCTATCATGTGACCGGTGTAGGGCTGGGCAGTTTCATCACAGGGTCATATTATACGCTTCTGAGTATGTCATGGATATTACTAGTGCTTGTCTCATTACAGAGAGAACATCATTCGTCTTGTATATCTACGTTTAGTGCAGTAAAGTGTGTGAGATGTTAAATAAAAATCATTTGTACTCATAGTGCTAGTATTTTTTTGGCTGTTCGGGCAAATCGTGACATTCCGTGTATCATAATGTCTGGAAGTATCGTTATATTTTTGTCATATCGTCCACCCCAACAACAACATTTATTTGTATAGCGCTTTTTACAACTAGTGTTGTCTCAAAGCAGCTTTACAGAAAAGCAGTTTATGGAGGGATGAAAAGAATAAAAAAGAAAATAAAGAAAATAGAAGAAAATTAAAAAGCCCACCGATACCGATGATGTCACCCATTCCTACTCTGTAGTTCTTGGCACAATGTACCAATCATAAAGAGCCATCAACACTCAGGTGCTGAATACTTTATCAGTACCTGAAACCTCAGAGAAACTTTCAAAGCGGTAATCTGAAATTAATCTTGTGCTTGATTGTGTACACCCTGTCTAACACCGAAAGCACTGTAAATTTTAAGTACATAAATGTTTACCCATTTGTGGTTATGGACACGAGCCCAAAGACTGAGTGCCAATATGTCACTGTATAGCAATACTTTCAATGTTTTATTACCACAGTTAGACACACATTTGGTTAAGAACAAAGTTTGTTTACATTCTACAAAGAAAAGGTCTGTGTGCTGGTGGAAGCTTTCGGAAAGGCCCTAACTGTTCTGTTTGTTTCCTTCATGATCTGCACAGAACATGCTGTTTGAGAGCATTCAGGAGGGAAAGTATGAGTTTCCAGAGAAAGACTGGGCGCACATCTCCCCCGCTGCCAAAGACCTCATCTCCAAGCTGCTTGTGCGGGATGCCAAAAACCGCCTGAGTGCGGCTCAGGTGCTGCAGCACCCGTGGGTGCAAGGGGTACGTCTGCTGCAGTATGGATCTAAGGGCCAGTTTTAAAGACATTGAATTTACTTAATGTTTCACTGGCCAAGACTAGACCTAATCCCTGTATGGGAACCAATTGCTAATACCAGCAGTTTATTGCACAATGCCATTTTTTTTTTAAATTCATTTTACATTATTAATTCTTCTTAATTGCTGAAATGGCATTTTAAAATCATTGCTTTTGGTAATTTCTTTTGTTTTTCTCCTTCCACTAGTGTGCTCCAAACATGGTGACGACATCTATACTCAATCAGAGGTGAGTTCTTGTCCTAGTATTGCATACTTTTAATGTTTATTATCCATACACAATTGCAAAGTAGTGAAAGAGTACTACACCTTGAATTTATAATGGATGAGAACTACTAGATTACGCCAATAAGATCAAACTAGGTGTTCATTAACTTTTATTTTGTAACTTTTATTTTTTGGATGAAGTTCTGTAGGGATTTTTGCTGAATAATCAAAACTGCCCTCCTAACTCTGTTTTTTGCTTTCCTTCTTTCTTTCTTTCTTTCTCTCGCAGAGGGGGTCGTGCTCAGGACCTGACTATGTTTGCCAGCTGTGCGGTGGCGGTGAACAGGCAGTTGGCGGAGCAGGAAGAAAGTGCAGAGCAGCTGCAGCAGCTGCACTTGGAGAATGATGATGGTTTTCCGTATCCGCTGCTCCTCCACGGCAGCCTGAGCTCCATCATGCCGCTCTCGCCCCTCACCAGGTCACGCCTGGCCCGGCGCCGGCGCGCCAGCAGCCCAAACCACGGGCCGGTGTGCGCGTCTGAATTACGGCAACTGCTCGCCCCACTGGTGGTGGTGGGAGACTGCGCGTGACCACCACGCATACATACATGCTGAAAAAGTGATGCACTGAACGTACTTGATTCAAACGTGTGCTCTATTACATCAGCACAAATTATTGCCAAAGTAAATAATATTTATATAAATTTAATTTAATTACATAAATAAGTATCTAAACTCAATTTTTTATTATATAGATGTTTATTCTTGTAATAATATCTACTGCATCAACACCTTTCTTGCCAAAAAATAAACTAAACAACACAATTGTTGATGTAATATATTTTATTAATGTTTAAATTATGTACGTTTGAAGCGAGTAAATTCAGCGTATCACTTTTGTCCGTGTCTGTCCTTTTGGACCCTCCAGCTGGACTGTGCCTGAAAGCCCCCAGACTTTTGTTCAACATGGGGCAATCAAAGCACTTTGGAGGAGTCCAGATACCTGTAGCACTTACACAGAAAAAAGCATTAAAAACCCTCAGATCACCCCAGAAACATGTACTGTGATAAGGGGGCTTCAGAAATGACTTTGTTCGACAATGTTAGTTTCTGCTTGGCTGTAAAAGACAAAAAAAAGACTCTGGACAAAAGCTGAGAAACCAAAGGATGTCATGGAGTGCTGCCTCCTCATGGATCCCACTGTGAAGATTGGAGTATTTGTTCAATGCATCAGGAGATAAATACCTTTTGCTTTTGCCTTTCTGTACTCATAGGGATCTGCTCAGCACAGCTGTGTACTTATGCAACCTCTGAGACTCGTGTCTTTTCTTGTCCTTTCTTAGAAGGGGCTGCTGGCAGACCACACTGTTGGTTAATGCAGGGTAGATTTTGGTTAAACTTGGTGCTGAGGCCTGGAGACTTTTATGCAAGTTGTCTAACAGGTTGCATACAACAAGAGCAGGAGAGGCTCAGATTTAATTTAATTTTTTTTTTTGTTTTATTTCATCTTTTCAGAGAAGGTGAGCCGCTATTGTTAAAAACCAATGCTGGGAAATGATTTATTTTCCCTTTTTGCCTCTTTCCCTGACAGATTCAAGGGCTTTCTTTGTCTTTAAGCTGACGGAGGCACATTTCAGCACCTTGCAGCCAATTACTAGAATGTAAATTGTTGAGTCCCAGGTGTTATTTTTTGTTTTCCAGGTTAGACTATTTAGACTCTTAGTCTCCATCACTGATTAAGGTCATTGTGATGCCTTCAGCTGTTCAAACACAGCTACATTGACCAATTAGTACAGGAGCCCTTCCCCCCAGATAGAAGAGGAAAAAAATGCTTTGCCTTCTTTTTTGGCAGCAGTATGTAAAAATATTGACTTAGTATGTCGAAACATGACATTCTCAAAAAATAATGATTTATTTTCTCAAAATAGTGACTTATTTTCTCAATTTTGACTTGTCAAAAAAATGAGTTGTTAAATTCCAAAAAAGTCATTATTTCAAGATATTAAGTCACTATTTTTTAGAAAATAATTCATTTCACAGTAATATTTTCTGAAAAACGTAACTTCAAGATTCTAAGTCAGTATTTTGACCCACTGCTGCCTGTCTTCTTCTTCTTCTTCTTCTTCTTCTTCTTCTTTTCTTCTTTTCTTTTTGTTCTTCTTTTCTTTCTTTTTCTTTTCCTCCTCTACCTGCGGGAGTGTGCTTCTATAAATCAGAGCACTCTGGTATGAGGTCAGTCTGTTTGCTTTGCTATTGCACAGCAGGCAGAATGTGCCCATGTCACTGCTTTAAGGGGAGGTCCACCCAAAAATCAAATTTGCATTATTTTTCTCCTCCTTTACCCTTAAGGTATCTATCAGCCAAGACATATTTGGTGTCTGAAGATTTCCTCTTTACTTTTGCACTGGAGCTGTGAGTAATCAGTGCTAATTTAGCTATAAATTCTGCAAAGCTGGCGTTCAAAATCTTTTGTATTAGCCTCGTAGCTCAAACCTGAAGAAGCGAAGTTCAGACACTAAACGAATCATGGCTGATGGAGCACATTTGGGGGGTTGGCGGGGGGGACTTTGAGGTTTGATTGCAAATTTGGTTTCATTCCTTTAATAAAGGTGACTAATGCAGTGCTAACAGTGCGACATATTTAACCCCTTCATGGCTCTTCAGTCTACCTGACTGTTTATGTGCATGAGTCCAATTCCCAAGCCAAAGCTTGTTTATACAGAAACTTCATTTTTTCATAGGCAGCGTCTGTTTATGCCACACTGCTGTTATAAAACTGATAGAAAGGCAAACTTTCATCCTCTCTTTATTTTATTTTCTGTTTTTAAATGGTTCGGTTTATTGAGCCTGTGGACGTGGAGGAACGGAAGAGTGGGAGTTTTTATCGTCTCTGTTTTTATCAGAAAGACTTTTCTTTCAGCTGCTCCTGTTACTCTGCACGGTTGAGACGTCTGGATGTTTTAACGTTTGAAGCAGTTTTTTTTTATATTTCCTCATCTTGTTCGATGATATGTGAAAGGCATTGTGAACGGAAGTGTGCGTGAGAGTGACCCCCCAGTTGACCGGTGTAGCATTTCAGAGCCGAACGGTCCGAACTCACTGCAGCTCCTGCTAAGCCGTAACCTCTCAGCAGACGTTTCCTTTGTCGTTGTCTTATAGTAAGACTCTCTTAATTATGCATCAGTGGGTCTCCTCGCAGTGTTCTTGAGGAGCTTCCTGTTTTTGTTTTTACTTTATTATTTTTTTGTTTTTGTGAAAATTGTTCTTGTTCCTCTCGTTTTGAAGAATTGAACTTCGTGCTCTGTCAAACACCTTGGTAGCCACACTTGTTTTAGGGACCATTTTTCTCCTTTTTTTTGTATCCCCCTGTTAATTTTTATTTTGTTTTATTTTTTTCTGGCTGTACCATCTTTTTTTGGAGTTGTGAAGCCCCAAAATAAAGAGCATGAAAATTTACAAAGTTGAACTGTCTGGTATTTTTTTAGGACCTTTTTTTTTATTTCCTCAAATTGCAGACAGTCTGTTTGAAATGTAGTGTATCACTATTAACAGAACAGCCTCAGTAGATTCTGATTCAGCTTTTACCCAAAGCCTTTTCTCATCAGCTTCTGTAAAAAGTTCTGTTCTTTTGGAGGAATTGGAATAAATAATTTATTTCAAATGCTGCCCGTGTGGTGTTTCACCTGATCTATTTGTACCAACCTTACACTAATTAGTTACACACACTTCTAAGCAAAACTTTGGGTGCCCTGGTCAAATAACATGTGATCAGTTATTAATCTCAGTGTTACTGAGCTCTGCTAAAGCCTGAGTAGACTGATAAATCAATGTGATATCAGTTATTAATCTCAGTGTTACTGAGCTCTGCTAAAGCCTGAGTAGACTGATAAATCAATGTGATGATCAGTTATTAATCTCAGTGTTACTGAGCTCTGCTAAAGCCTGAGTAGACTGATAAATCCCAATACCTTTGTCCATATTGGGTATGTATCAATAGACTTTATGAATATGTATTAAGTTACTATATTGTTGCAATTTTAATAGTTTATTGATTTTTAGCACATATATGTTTTTACTGTCCTATTTGTCAACCCTTGTTTGCTGTATTGACTCAGCTGCATTGTATATGAGGGTTTCCCTCAATGTACTCCGAGTTTAAATAAAGGTTAATCGATTGATTGATTGATAAATGTATTCTGAATAGGTTACTTTTTCATGTATTATAATAGAATGCATTGCTGAATACATTTAGAATGGTGTATATACACCGATCAGGCATAACATTATGACCACCTCCTTGTTTCTACGCACTGCAGTAACACTGACGTGGTGGTGGTGTGTTAGTGTGTGTTGCGCTGGTATGAGTGGATCAGACACGGCAGTGCTGCTGGAGTTTTTAAACACTGTGTCCACTCACTGTCCACTCTATTAGACACTCCTACCTTGTCAGTCCACCTTGTAGATGTAAAGTCAGAGACGATAGCTCATCTGCTGCTGCACAGTTTGTGTTGGTCATTCTCTAGTCCTTCATCAGTGGTCAGAGGACGCTGCCCACAGGACGCTGTTGGCTGGATATTTTTGGTTGGTGGACTATTCTCAGTCCAGCAGTGACACTGAGGTGTTTAAAAACTCCAGCAGCACTGCTGTGTCTGATCCACTCAGACCAGCACAACACACATTAACACACCACCACCACGTCAGTGTTACTGCAGTGCTGAGAATGACCCACCACCCAAATGGTACCATGAGGGTCCTGACCACTGAAGAACAGGGTAAAAGGGGGCTATGCAGAGAAACAGATGGACTACAGTCTGTAACTGTAGAGCTACAAAGTGCTCCTATATAGTAAGTGGAGCTGATAAAATGGACAATGAGCGTAGAAACAAGGAGGCGGTCATAATGTTATGCCTGAACTGTGTAAATATATGAAATGAATCATAATATTAATGCATACTGGGCTGATTAATGCATTAAGTTAAACCTAGTGGACTAAATTTTCTTTCAATGGAAAATCTACATTCAAAACCCTGTCTAGTCTGAGACTGGACTTAATTCCTGTCTAGGAATCTGGCTCACATATTTGTAAGTTGTAAATGTGTGTGTGTGTGTGTGTGTGTGTGTGTGTGTGTGTGTGTGTCTGTGTGTGTGTGTCTGTGTGTGTGTGTGGCAGATAAAGACAGGCCAACAAATGTGTGCAGAACTGCGCCTGTCAGTCAGAGCCAGAGCTCCCTCTGGTGGTGAAACATCAGCACTGCAGATTCTGAGTATTTACTGCTGCTGTGTACATCAGATCAGTGTTTCTCAGGGCTCCGGCTCTAACACAGCTGACAAGCCTCTGCAGTTCATTCCTGAGAGCTTCATGATGTTAGAATGGAGATGAAGCTGACTGGCGTGGCTTTTTAATCTGATGCTGCGCTGAGGCCTCTGAGCAGAACATCCTGCTCCAACAGTGTAAACCAGCTGTGCTCAGCTACAACTTGCAAAAATCTTTTCAAAAGGTAAAATCAATGTGATTAATGTAAAATTGATTAAATTAATCAATGATAAAGGCTCGTCTTATTGAGCATTTAGCGCTCTGCCAGTTGGGGACTCTTGGTCTACACTATACTTACACTAAACATCAGAGTCAAATGCTACTAAACAAATTTGTTCCATTTTTAATCTCACTGAATTTCTTGTAACAAAACACACAACAAATAAATGTTTTATTCTCTAAACCATAAATGAGGCTCTAAAACATTTAAAAGGCCTCAGGCAGAAGATTCCTCCACGTCCAGGTGTAGAAACAGTGCGTATGTAGCCATGTCTGTATTCTGAGTGAGTCATTTAGTTAGCATTGCAGCCAGCTGTGGTATCTTTATATGCGCTTGACATTTTAAATTCTTCATCTGTTTTTGATCTTTGATCCTCACTGTGATTTTATTTTAACCTCCTCAACTCCTTGAGACCACCGGTGGTTCCAAAACGCACTTCGTCATATTCTTCATAACTTTCATATTTCATAAGCTACATTCTGAAGGTAGGCGTTGTATGAGAGCTGTAACTGTCTTCTCTCCAGTCAAATAGATGGTGATGTAATTTTAAACCCTTATAATAAAAGAAGCTGAACTTTTACTACTGAAGGTCGACCCATTTTTCCACAAATCTGGGCTGTAAACTATAAACAGATGGCGTCTCTTCAGTGATCTGCTCTGTAAACATTATTTTTATAAAATAATACAAAGAGCGTCTAAGATTTTTGGCTTTCAGCAGTAAATTGTAAACATATAGCAACATGTGTGATCATAAAACACATTCTGTTAATTTGAGGGGAGCTTTAACAAAATAAATAAATAAAATAAAAAATTACATTTATTTCATGCAGTTACTGAATAATTTGCCTCACGATTTGGTCACGTAAATTCAGATGGACAAACCAAAATATACCCTGGAGAATAAGAGGTTAATAAAAATAAAGATCTGATTGATCTTTGAGCTTAATAAAGTAAACACAGGTGAGGAGAGGGAGAGAAAGAAGCTGACGGAGACCGACAGAGCTGAGGACGCCGGCCTGACAAAGGTTACTGATCAAGAATGAAAGGAGTGAGTGATGATCTGTGGTCTGTGGTACACACTTCAAAAAGATGCTTCTCCAAGGGTTCTTCAGCGAAGCCAGTGGATTTTTAGAACCATGAGTTCTATATAGACCCATTTGCATGCTTAAATGTTCTCTGCATGGTGAAATGGTTCTTCAGTTTGATAGAGAATGTGTTGTATAAGGTTCTATAAAGCCCAAAAAGAGTTTTTGGTGCTGTATAGAACCTTTATTTTCAAAAGATCTTTACGTGTTTTAAGTCATTTTATTACGTGAAATTCTCTCACTATACTGGCTGATAATGATGCTGGTTTCAAGCACATTTCTTAAAACAAGCTAAATTATCTGCCAATATAGTGAGTTAAATATACTTAATAAAATGA